TGCATACACTGCAACTATACATGCAGAGATAGCAACATAGATTTGGTTGCATGCATGCATGCATGCATGCATGCATATAAAGGCATCAATGCATGCATGCATGCATGCATGCATGCAAACAAGCAAAGACAGCACTGCATGCATGCATATACATATACATATACATATACATAAATACTTGCATGCATGCATGCATACATGCATAAGATACCACTGCATGCATGCATGCAAATGCATGCAAATAAACGCATGCATGCATTTGCATGCATGCAAATGCATGCATGCAAATAAATAACTTACTGTATCCTCTCTGCAAGACTATCTTCTTCCTCCTCTTCTTGCTGCTGCTGCTGCTGCTGCGCTTTTCCTACAAATACACAAATAGCATCTACTTGCTGCCATGCAGCAGCAGCAGCAGCAGCAGAATTTACTCCTTTTTTTCCCCATAAATTAAATAAACGATCTAATTTTGCTGCTATTTCTTCACCATTTAATTTTACTAATTGATGCTGCTGCTGCTGCTGCTGCTGCTGTTGCTGTTGCTGTTGCTGCTGCTGCTGCTGTTGCTGCTGCTGCTTTTGATGGGTGGGAGAGGAAGGGGAGACTGATTTTGCTGCTGTTGCTGCTGCTGCTGCTGGGGATGTTGCTGAGGTAGTATTGTCACTATCTCTTTTTACTGCAGCAGCAGCAGCAGCAGGTGTACTTGTTGCTGCTGCTGCTGCTGCTGCTGCTGTATCTGTTGTATCTATTTCTTTCTTTGTAGGTAATAGATCATCTTCTTTCTTTACTCCTGCTGCTGTCTTATCATCTGCTGCTGCTGCTGCTGCTGCTGCTGCATCAGGAGCAGCAGCAGGAGATGGATCCGTAGGTGGTGTTGCTTTTGTGTCTGCTGCTGTGTCTTGGCTTGGTAAAGAATTCTCTGTTGCTGCTGCAGCAGCAGCAGCAGGTGTGCTGCTGCTGTTGTTGCTTGCGTCTTGCTGCATCGCGGTGTCTGCATGCATTTTGCTGCTTCTTCTTGTGTTATATTATAAAAGAAAAGAAAAAGAAGCAAACAGACACTGCAGCAAGAAGCAGCAAAAGAAGCCCTCAATAATAATTGCTGCAGCTGCAGCAGCAGCAGCAGCAGCAGCAGCAACACAAGGAGGCTACCGCGTGCTGTGCCTGCTGCAGCAGCAGGTAGAATCGAGGAGAGTAGCTAACAGCAGCAAACACAGCAGCAGCTGCAGCAGCTGCAGCAGCAAAACACCCAATATATATACTATTAACAATAAAGAAGGAGCAGCGCAGCAGCAGCAGCAGCAGCAGCAGCGAATCGAAGCTGCAGAGACACCGCAGATCAAGGCCCCCCAAACCCCCCCAGCAGCACAACCTCTGCCTTATGTGTTTATTGCTGCTGCTAGGGGGTAAAGCAGAAGAAAAAGAGAATAAATAATTAAGGTGTACATACACCTTAATGCAATAAAAGAAAAAACACAAAGAAAAACAAACAAAAGGAAGAAAAGGACTAAAGATCGTTGCTGCTGCTGCTGCTGCGGGCCCCATGATGCATGCAGAAAGGAGGCGGCAGCGGGGGTAATGGTAAATTAACCAATAAAATATATATTTTTTAATAAAAAAAGAGGAAATATTTATTTATTTCTTTTTTCTTCTATTTTATACACAAAAAATTACCTTTTTATCCCTTATTTATACACAAACTTCCCCTTTGTGCTCGTTATGATGATTATAACCACCAGGGGTGGCATAATAAGGTGTACATACACCGCAATAAAAGGGAAGAAAAAAAGAAGAAATTTCTTCCTTTTTTCCTCTTTTTCTTTGCTTTTCTTATTTTTTTATTTATATTATTATATATTAATTAATATTAGTTTATTTATTCCTTTATTAACTAAATAAAGCAACAGATTATATACACAACAATAAGGTGTGTGACCTTCTGCTGTTTATGCGTGTGTGTGTGTGTGTTGTATCTATACACTCCTCTCTTTATTATAAATAAATAAATAAATAAATAAACAAATAAATAAATAAAATAAATAAATATAATTAAATATAATTAAATATAAATAAATATATGTATTTATTTGTATCTGAATTTAAATAAATTACTATAAAAAAGGTATTTAATTATATTATTTATTTGCCCTATAAGAGTGTATAAATAAGAAAAGAAAAAAAAAAAGAAAAAAAATAAATAATAATAAAATAAATAAAAGAATAAAAATAAATAAAAAAGAAGAAAAAGAAATAAAATAAAGAAGAAAAGAATAAGTTAACAGTTTTATAGGCAGCAGCAAATAGCCAAAAAGAAAAGAATTAATAATTCAGGTGTACATGCACCTTTTATATGCATGCATGCATGCACATCTGCATATTTATATTTATTTATTTATTTATTTATTTATTTAGGTGTATATACAGCAGGTATATAACACCAAGAAAGAAAGGTAAAACTCCCTTTTTATAATAAATTCCTCAAACCATCTACTAGGGTTTACCTAGGGTTTAGGGTTTAGGGTTTAGCTAGGGTTTAGGGTTTAGCTAGGGTTTAGGGTTTAGGGTTTGAGGATATTTAGACAACCATCAAACCCCCAAGAAACAACAACATTATTACTTGGATGATGTGCCATGCCTATAACGTCTTGTTCGTGTATCTATACACATAAATAAATAAATAAATAAATAAATAAATAAATAAATAAATTAATTAATTAATTAATTAATAATATAAATAATAAATAAAATGACATACAATATGCATATAAAAAAAACAAGTAACATAAATAAATAAATAAATTAAATAAACAAATATATAAATTAGTTAATTAAATAAAATAAATAAAATAAACAAAATAAATAAATAAAATAAATAAATAAATAAAATAAATAAATAAATAAGTAAAACAAACAAAATAAACAAATAAAATAAACAAAAATTTTATT